TGCTGCCTCCCTCCAGGCACAGTGGCCACAACCACCTATGGGTGGCCATGGCGTGAAAGGAAGCGGGAGCAGGGCGGTCGCCTCTCTCCTCTTTTTTGACAGGGTTTTGTTCTTTCATCCAAGCTACAGTGCAATGGCATCTTTTTTTTTTTTTTTTTGGGTAGAGACCGAGTCTCACTTTATCACCCTCGGTAGAGAGCCGTGGTGTCCCACAGTTCACGGCAACCTCCAACTTCTGGGCTTATGTGATTCTCTTGCCTCAGCCTCCCGAGTAGCTGGGACTATAGGCGCCTACCACAACGCCGGGCTATTTTTTGTGTGCAGTTCGGCCGGGGCCAGATTTGAACCCGCCACCCTCGGTATATGGGGCTGGCGCCCTACTCACTGAACCACAGGCGCTGCCCAAGTGCAATGGCATCTTTATAGATCACTGCAACCTCAAACTCCTGGGCCTCAGTTTCCAGGTAGCTGGGATTAAAAACTTGTACCGAATTTTTTCTGTTATTAGTAGAGATGAGGTCTTGCTTTTGCTCAGGGCCTCTTTTCATTTTATAGATAGTGTCTTTTACAGCACAAAAGTTTTTAATTTTAATGAGATCCAATTTATTTATTTTTAAACATCATATGTAAGAATCCAGTGCCAAATCCCTATGTTTTCCACTAAAGATTTTACAGTTTTCAGCTATTACATTTAGGCCTTTGATCTATTCTGAGTTAATTTTTGTATATGGTATGAGGTAGGAGTCTAACTCCACTCTTTTGCATGTGCCTATCCAGTGGTCCCAGAATCATTTGTTGCAGAGACTATTCTTTCCTACCTTGAATGGTCTTGGTAAAAATCAACTGACCATAGGGTTTATTTCTGGGCTCTCTATTCTACATCATTGGTCTAATCAGGTGTCCGTTTTTTTTTTTTTTTGAGACAGAAAAGCTGTCCCCCTGGGTAGAGTGCCATGGCATCACAGCTCACAGCAACCTCCAACTCCTGGGCTTAAGCGAGTCTCCTGCCTCAGCCTCCCAAGTAGCTGGGACCACAGGCGCCCGCCACAATGCCCAGCTACTTTTTGCTTGCAGCTGTCGTTGTTTGGCGGGCCTGGGCTGAATTTGAACCCGCTACCTTAGGTGTACATGGCTGGCGCCTTAGCCACTTGAGCCACAGGCGCTGAGCCTAATCAGGTGTCCTTAAACTATGGCCCGCGTGCCACATGCAGCCCGCCTAGGACATTTATCCAGCCTGCCGGGTGTTTTTGCTGCCACTGTCTGTCCTGCTTAGCAGCTGACTCGTCCCAGCACACGCAGTCTGGCCATCCAACGGTCTGAGGGACCCCTGTTTAAAAAGTTTGAGGCTTATGCCAGTTCCACACTGTTTTAATTACTGTAGACTACAGTAAAATTTGAAATCAGAAAGCATGAGACCTCAAACTTTGTTTTCCTTTCTGAAGATTGTTATGGTTATTTGGGCTGCCTTATAATTTTAGGATCGTTTTTCCATTTCTGTCTTTGATGGTTAATTCTACACGTCAACTTGACTGGAATGCCCAGATAGCTGGTAAAACATTATTCCTGGGTGTGCCTGGGAGAATGTCTCCAGAATAGATTAGACTATTCTGAATAGTCTGAATTGGCAGACTGAGTAAAGATAACGTGGGTGGTTATTATTCAATACTGGGGGCCTGATTATAATAAATTTATAATAAAAAGGTAGAGAAAGGGTGAATTTACTCTCTCTTCTTAAGTTAGGACATCCTTCTTCTCCTTTCTTTAGACGCTGGAGCTCCTGGTTTTTGGGACTGTGGACTTACACCAATCCTTAACTTTTTACCTCTACCCTTGTTTTTAGGCCTTCAGGTCAGACTGAGTTACACAATTGATTTTCTTGGTTCTGTAGCTCACAGATGGCATATTGCAAAACTTCTTGACCCCCATAATCATGTGAGCCAATTCCCTTTATAAATCTATTCTTACCTAAGAGATTTATTTATCCCCTAACAAATCTCTGTATAAGTATCTATCCACCTATCTGTCCTATTGATTCTGTTTCTCTGAAGAACTGTAACACACTGTCGAAAGACCATTTTGATTTTGGTAAGAATTGCATTGAACACTTTGGGGAGTTTTGCTATCTTAACAATATATTAAATCTTTAACCCATGAACATAGGATTTTTTTCTATTTATTTAAATCTTCTTTAGATTGTGTCAGCAATGTTATATAGCATTCAAAGTTAACTCTTATACCTCTTTGGTTAAATGTATTCCTGTTTTATTCTTTTTTGTTGTTTGCTAGTGCCTAGAAATATGACTAACTTTTGTGTGTTGACTTTATATCGTGAGATGTTTCTGAACTTCATTTGATGTAATAAAGCTGTACTAGGCTATTAGCTCTACTAGGATTTTTGTTGTTGTTGTTGCGTGTGGATTTTTAGTTTTTTCTATACACAAGATCATGTCACCTATGATTAGAGAGAATCGAATGTTTAACTTGATTTTTTTTGAGACAGAGTCGCCCTGGGTAGAGTGCTGTGGTGTTGTGACCAGTTTTATGACAAAATTTTACAATTCTCTAGTGTCTTAGCTCCCTCACATTCCAAAGGAGTTTCTAATATTCACATCAGAGCTGAAACAGGCAGCTTAGTAGCCTTGACTGGACAGGGATGAAACAGTGAGCATTATCTCAGCTCCAGAGGCCTAGCAACAGCAGTCTTAGAAAAAGTAGAAAAGAGGCAGAGGGGTCTTTTCTGTGCACTGACACAATTTCTTTGGGTTTTTCCCAAGAAAAAGCAGAACCTCCTTGCATTCCTGAGATAACTACAGTGCCTTACTCTATTGGAAATGTCTGGAGAAAGTCAAGATAAGCAATACACCACTGTAAATTATGACCGAAAGCCACTGAGCCTGAGCACAAGGGTCAAATAATGAACAATATTAACCCCTAGCTCATTATAATACTAACATTCCCACCATGGGGAGGGATTTGTCCGCCATTTTTTGTTCGTGGGATGTGTGAACTTGCATGATTTCTGTTTTATTCTTTTTTGTTGTTTGCTAGTGCCTAGAATACAACAAACTTTTGTGTGTTGATTTTATATCGTGAGATGTTTCTGAACTTCATTTGATATAATAAAGCTCTACTAGGCTATTAGCTCTACTAGGATTTTTTTTCATTATTCTATGCATTATTCATTTTTACCTCCATAAAAACCTTCTATGCGTTATTCATTTTTACCTCCATAAAAACCCCTTAATCTTGCTAATCTGGGAGGTGAATTTGAGGTAGCCTGTGCCTCCTCTGCCCAATTGACTCATCTTCTGAAATAAATCCTTTCTTCCTTGACAATCCTTGTCTCAGAATTGACTTCCTATGTGACGAGCCAACAATGAACCCCTCTTGTGGGTTAGTTAACAGTGTCATAGCTCTGGGCAGCGCCTGTGGCTCAGTGAGTAGGGTGCCGGCCCCATATACTGAAGGTGGCTAGTTGGAACCCCGCCCCGGCCAAACTGCAACACAAAAAGAGCTGGGCATTGTGGCGGACACCTGTAGTCCCAGCTACTCGGGAGGCTGAGGCAAGAGAATTGCCTAAGCCCAAGAGCTGGAGGTTGCTGTGAGCTATGATGCCACTGCACTCTACAGAGGGCAACAAAGTGAGACTCTGTCTCTAAAAAAATCAATCAAACAAACAAACAACAACAAAAAAATAAAACCAAAAAGACCCAGTGTCATAGCTCACAACAACCTCAACCTTTTGGGCTCAAGAGATGCTCTTGATCCTCAGCATCCTGAGTAGCTGGCATGACAAGTACCTGCCACAATGCCCAACTGTTTTTTTCTATTTTTAGTAGAGATGGAGTCTCATTCTTGCTCAGACTAGTCTCAAAATTCCTGAGCTCAAGCAATCTACCTATCTCAGCCTCTTAGAGTGCTAGGATTACAGGTGTGAGCCACCAAGACCAGTTTGAATGTTTAACTGCCAGATTGCTTTGCGAAGTGGTAGTACCATGGTACCTTCCCACCAACAGTATATGGAATTCCAGTTCCTCCAACATCCTTATGGTTGGTGTAACCCACATAATACATAGTAACTGACTTACGGGAAAATGAAGTTAAAAAAGTTGGCTCAGTGAGTAGGGTGCCGGCCCCCATATACCGAGGTGGCAGGTTTGAACCGGCCCTGAAAACTGCAACAAAAAATAGCCGGGTGTTGTGGCGGGTGCCTATAGTTCCAGCTACTTAGGCAAGAGAATCGCCTAAGCCCAAGAGCTGGAGGTTGCTGTGAACTATGATGCC